AAATCAAAGATTTTCAGTTAATAACATCACCAAGGAACACTAGATCAGGGAATAACTCATACACAACAACTAGTCAAATATTTTTGTGGAAGGCAGATCAAAGATTTTAGTTAATAACATCATCAAGGAACACTCCATCAAGGAATAATTCTATTCAACAACTATTCAAATATTTTCATGGAACTCAAATGAAAGACTTTTAGTTAATAACATCATCAAGGAACACTCGATCGAGGAATAATTCTATCAAATAACTATTCAAATATTTCTGTGGAATTCAAATGAAAGATTTTTAGTTAATAACATCATCAAGGAACACTCGATCAAGGAATAATTCTTAACAACCAACTATTCAAATATTTTTGTGGAACTCAGATCGAAGATTTTTAGTTCATAACATCGTCAAGGAACACTCGATCAAGGAATAATTCTATCAAATAACTGTTCAAATATTTTTGTGGAATTCAAATGAACGATTTTTAGTTAATAACATCATCAAGGAACAATTGATCAGGGAATAACTCATACAAAACAAGTATTCAAATATTTTTGTGGAATTCAAATGAAAGATTTTTAGTTAATAACATCATTAAGGAACAGTCGATCAAGGAATTATTCCTACCAAACAACTATTCAAATATTTCTGTGGAATTCAAATCAAAGATTTTAGTTAGTAACATTATCAAGGAACACTCGATGAAGGAATAGTTCGTACCAAACAACTATTCAAATATTTCTGTGGAATTCAAATCAAAGATTTTAGTTAGTAACATTATCAAGGAACACTCGATGAAGGAATAGTTCGTACCAAACAACTATTCAAATATTTTCTTCAGTTCGAAGCAAAGATGTAGTGTTGGTTATATGAGCACTGGTGGTGCTTACAGCTCTGTGGTAAGTGAAGAAATTGTACGCTTGCTGAGTATGTGAAGGTTAGAACGTTCAGCCTCGACCTCTTGAACTGGATTTGCTTCTGCCATGTAAATCGTGGCCAACGAGACCAAAACGACGATTAACCAGACGATTATGGTGATTTGTTTCATCGTTAATTGCTGCTTTTCGACGATCGAGAAGGAACTGATAGATAAATATAAAAAAATAATTGTATTGTATAATCGTATAGTTATACTCCGGCTTTATATACTCGTAAAGCGCCTAGCAAAGAAAAACATACACTCATTGACCACTTAACAAAGAGAAATTTACAAAAAAAGATTTTCTTTTTATAGATGGTGAGAGATAAATTTTTTTTGCACTCAGCGTGTAATTTTTTGCACTCAGACTGTAATTTGTTTGCCATAAATAACGATGCATATCATCGTCAAGGTGGAGAAAAATCATGTATATATTTTCATTGTGACGTCTTTCTATGCATATAGAACCTTGAGCTCTATGCGCATTTAGATCAACCTTTTCACCTTTTTTTTGTTGTTCTATTCTCATGTGATTGTCAATGATAAAAAAAGAATCGTTTAATTAACGATT